AGATGAAAAATACGTAAAGTTTATCCTGCCAATAAATATAGAATATATTAACGATACCAAGAGTGCCCAGAGAAAAGTCGGTATGGGTATTATTCCGTGTTATTTGTGCTAGCAGCGCAGTGCTTCTTCAGCCATCGAGCGCAGCTATATAAAGTCACCTGGGATGAGGAGAAAAGACCCTCATGACTGTCAGAATGATGAGAGCTACTCGTTATCAGAACGATAGAAGTTGTGTTATCATTCATTCAGAAGAAGATAGTTTTGCTCGTAATTTCTTTCGACAAAATGCGACCAGTTGACGGTTCTTCTAAAAAATGAAGAGTTCCCGCTTTATGGATCATTCGGTTCGGGATTTACTGATGAACTTGGTGGAACACAGAGCTTGTATGATGCATTTTGAGAATTAAATCAACCAAAAGTTTATGCCACCAGAAAGGTGAATATAAAGCAAGGGACCCAAAATGAGTAGCTAAAAATCATTCTTTTTTCTTAGCCGTCAGGTTTCTGGGCCTAACGAGGATCCAGTTTTAGGTTAGGACCCTATTTTGTATGAGTTCAAAAGCAGACCAGTTCTACTCAAGTTCATTTTGGGGATAAATTCTTCGCGTTTCTTCTTCGCAGAAATTATACTTAGAAAGGTTTTCTTTTCTAATCCATTTACTTGCAGAAATTATACTTTTTTAGAAGAGTGCGAATTATACTTTAGAAATTATACTTTTGTAAAAAAGTACAAAACGCAAGTAAATGGAGTTAAAAAAGCGAAATATAACCTGAAACGTTTCCAGTTTTTGATTTGCATAGCGGCCTGGCAGTGCTTCGTTTTGTTTCATATAACTGCTGGCCATGTTCTCTAAAAATAAGTTAGCGTTGAAAGTTTTACAGGCAAGATTTTGGATACTAGCTCACTACGCTGAGTCAAATTAAGTTCCCTTTCAAAGATGGGTTTCAGCGAGAGACTGAGACGCTTGGAATTAGCTTGTAATTGAAAATTTACCAATGAAGGCGCCGCTTGCAATGCCTGGAAATGCCGGTTTACACGTGAACGTATGATTGTCAAGTGGTTGCTCGCAAGTACTGTTATGGCATAGGGCTTCAATAATAGCAGTATTATTGGCATTGCAGTAAGGACAGAGATCGCCATCGCTACTAGCATTACTTGGCACATAAGCACTGGCTTGCAACAGAAGTCCATTAAGAAAGCAAACGCTGTGGCTTGCCGGAACAATGCTTTTCACCAGCGCACCAGCGAATATTGCTGCTACTGATATCAGTACACATACCAGCGATATCTGAAAACTAGCACAGCTTGAAAAAATGTTCGAACTTTATATGGATTTCATACGGATGAAAGAAGTTTAAAATGCAAAGAAGAATGGAGAAGTTGCAAGCTGCGTCATTTTCAAAAAAAACAGTTCGTCAACGCTTACTGGTAATAATAAAAGCTCATTTCCGCAACAAAATCTTAGCATAGATTTCGTTGCTCACTTGATCGAAACATATTGTTCTTTGGTAAAAAGCATGGACTTGCCTGTCTTTGAGGCACAGCAGGTTTGCAAAAAAAAATATGCAACCGCAAAACAAAGCTTTGTTTATGCGCATCCTTTCAAACTCTTAAAATCTTATATTGTTACCGGTGCAAAGAACTGGACGAATCGAACACCGAGAGCTACGATTACAAACAGAAACAACAATATGGCGGTACCATATATTCGATAATTATTCGACATCATTCCGGTAAGACCTGTCATTTTAATAACAATCAATTGTCTGCTGGCTTGCATGTTAAAAAGCAACAGTAAAGCCGAAAAAGAGCAAAGTGCTAAGGGAAAAAAGCATTGAAAGAGTTGAGGAAATGATGGGGAAGAAGTTTCGGCCCACTGAGTTGTAAGATGCTATAAATGTAATTGGTAAGCAGATTCTCTGGTGACAGGAAGGAAATTTATGAAGTTGTTTGCTTTGATAACAATCGATGGATGTCGCACATCACTGGGAGATAACTATAACAAGAAAGATGATCTTTGAAGACACAGCTCAAATGCTTAAGGGCAGAGCGAGAATTATTGAATAAATGGGTATACAAACCTAAGCTTGCCGCATGAAGCATTTT